ATATGGCAACAATAAAAGCTCTATCATTCCATATATCAATATAGTCATCATGCATGACTTCCCAATTATCATCAGACCTACCCCGTCGATTTATATCATGGAGATAATCATGATTGCGTGGAATTTGTGGAATGGGCTAATGGAGGCCAAACTACCTCAACACCTATCTCCAAACTGAAACTCGACAACACAAAAGTGAATCATTGGTGTAACAGTACACCAAAGAGTAGAATCCACCATCAAATAATCTGATACATCTATCAATATGTCATCATTGTTGTATGGTCTCCAAATAAACTTTAAAAAATTATACATGAATGATTACATACCAAAGTAAATTATAAATAAATAATATATGAAACTAACTTTTCATTCATATACCTAATATTTGCAATACAAATCAATCATCGATCTAAATACCTTGACATTATTGTGCACTAACTTCGTTCTTTATTTTTGCACACCATCTGCAAACAAATAATATGTGAAACTAACATTTATTTGATAACTTTTTCTTCTAGATGAAATATATTTTAAAATAGAGTAAATACATTTTAAATTAAAATCAAAATATTACCTTCAAATAAGAGGAAAACAAATCAAACTTTGAGTAATCGATGTAAAAAGGCAATCGTTGCCAAGCTCACGCTTGCAATAATAGTAGGCATCCATTAATGCTTATTCTCTTTTGATAATTTTCTAACAAAAAAGCCTTGCACAACTCACGATACAAGAATGCTAATATTATCGATCCCCAACTATAACTGTCAACTTCTCAAAACTCATTCATAAATTGGAGATATTGTGTGTGTGAACCATATTAGCATAACTATCTGACATCAATATCCCTCCAATGAGTTGTATAAGATATGCTCGAGCTCTAAGCTAAATATCCTCTCTTGTGCTATAATCAGTGACTTTAAATTCGTTCTCCAACCAAGTTATTTTTATATGAGAACCTTTTATATCTCTTCCATATGGCACATTCCCAAGATATTTTAAGTAAAGCTGCTGAGCATTGAGTTCAGTATGAGCAATCAATGGCTTCCCATTTACCAGGACCCTGATTTGCATGACCACATATTCTTGAGCAATGATGCATTTTCCATATGGCAAATGAAAAGTATGTGTTTCCAATCTCAATCTTTCAATTAATGCAGTAATCAATCCAAGATTAATTTGTAGCCATAAATAAATGTGGCATGATAAAATCCTGCCATATCCAATAATAAAACAATAAGCTCGTGTGGGCGATTATTCTCCATCCCTCGATGTTCAAATGTTTCAACATTATCTTGCAATGAATACAAACAATCTCAAATAAGATTATGTGAGACATAAAACTACATAATTTATTTCCTAATAAAAAAATAAATTATAAAAAAATTATATATGTTCATTTGTCATAAGACTAGTGATGTGTTCATTTTGTAATCTTAATAGAGGAGGTTGATCTACCATCCTTCTAACAACTTCCAACTCTAAATGACAAATGTCAATATTTTTATAAAATATTTGTAATAATTAAAAAATATTTATAATAAAAAATTAAATTATTTAATTATAACATATTTAATTCAAAATATAAATATTTATATCACTTAAATTAAAATATTAAAGATCAAACTTACTAGTTTAGCATTTGGTGCTACAAATAATTTCACCAAATTTACTTCAAATCTCTCTCTCTCTCTTATTATTTCTTGCTATAAATTATATTAATTGATAAATCAATTACAATTCTAACTAATTCTATAACATACAAATTAAATTCTAAAACTTCTTTTATTCAAAATTAGAATATAAATTTTAAAATTTTTATCATGTATTTTATTATATAAAAGTATTCGAAAAAAGTGAAATAAAATACACACTTAATCCCTAAAGATTTAATAAAATAAAATCCATTTAAAATACAAAAAATTATATTTATCTATATCTTATCTTATATACTTTTTATTTTTAATTATATAATAATAAAAATTAAAGTAATTTGAAATTAAATTTTTACATAAATTTATTAAGTTTTCTAATTTAAATATATTTTTACTCTAAATATTTTTAAAAATTTTAATTTTGGATTTCAATTTATATAAGATAATTATACTTTTTTATGTTGATCAAAATTGGTTTTAAATCTTCCTTCTTCTCTTTCTCCTCTAAATCTTCTCAAAATTATTTGTATTGTATTATATTAATAACAATAAATTACTTTAAATTAAATTTAAAAATTAGACTACATCATAAATATATATAACACTAGAAAAACAAACTATAACATGCAATTTTCTACATAAATATAGTTTACTTAAAAAATTAAAATACTAAATCTACTTACAATTTGCTCAAATAAGTTTCACCAAATTTATTCTAAATCTTCCTTACTCTTCTTTCTTTTTGCTCTAACTTCTCAAGTTACATGCATAATATTACAATTATATCGACATTCATCAATACTAAATAAAAAATAACTACAATATAACATTTAAAAAATTAAAAACAAAATTAACGATATAAAATTAATTAATTAAAAAAAATAAAATATTCCTTTATTTACTATAATATTACTTCACTAAAAAAATAAAAAATACCCCTACTTACTATATTTTCTCATTCTCCTTCTTTCCCATCTTCTTCTACAATTTTTCTCTAAAACTTTCTCTTATAATTTTAGCTTCAATCTCTCCTATTTAACATAAAAAATTTAAATTTCAACCACATATTTATCCATCAACCTTTTTAATTTTCAATGATTCATGCATAGCTCATGCACTCAATATTTACACCGCTGCTACACTCACCCGCCTGTGCCCTTGCCTGGCCCCAGCCGCTTCTTTGATATGGAACAGTGAACAACGTAGGAACACCATCTTTAAATTTTTATTCAAAAGAAATAGTGAATAGTATAGACGATTTGTAAATATAGCGTCTTTAATTTTTTTAATTTGAAAGAAATAGTGAATAGCGTAGGCGATATATAAATATACCGTCTTTAATTTTTTAATTCAAAAAAATATTTAAGCAGTAAAGATGGGTTGATTACACACCAACTTTATGTTCACTGTAGGTTTTACTATACTTTGAAAAATAAAAACATAAATATAATATTTTAAAAATTAAAAATCTAACCTGCAATTTCTGTGTAATTTCCCGTTTGTTTTCGTTATGTGTCACCACCCTATTGATTAAATAAAACTAATTAAAAATAGTTATTTAATTATTAACATAGAAATTTAAAAATATTAAAAATATATTATATTATGTCACGTCAACATAATCGTTAGTTTTTTAATAACGAATACTAAAATGAAACCTAATTAAAATATTAGGTATAATTTTAAAAAATAAAATTTAAGTATCAAAACGGAACAAAAATAATAATTTAAGTAATAAAAGTGAAGTTTATCCTAAAAAAATAATTAAGATTAGAACATCATGTAGTCTTAGGATCTCTTTTAGAGTTTGACTCCAGCTTGAAATGATTTAAATTAATTGTAAAATGCAGAAAACCTAGTTTAATTGAAAGTAGGAAGTATATATTATATTTTATGTTGATTGAGAGTAAGAAATATAATTCCAGTAAATTTCTTGATATGCAAGTTTCCTTTGTAACCAAAAAAAAATTATCCTTACAAATATATACTAGATGTTAAAGTTTTGAAACAAGTTGATTAAATCTTACTTCGCGTTTAGACGTAAATCTTATTGTACTCTTTTTCGACATAGATTTTCTCCCTTCTGAATGGTTAGTGTTTTTTATGTTGTGATTAGTTTAAATTTATTATTATCGTTCTTAAAATATTTTCAAATTTAATCAAATTACGATAATAACGTCACTAAAATATGACATTTTATTGTTAGATCATAATACCATGTTCTTATTATGGTAAGTGAAGATTCAATATATTTCTGTACGCATAGATTTGGATGCGACAGTAGAAGAGATCAATAAGATGTCATCATCTTTAGACACTTAAAAAGAAATAACGTAAAGACAAATGTACTATCCCAAATCTGTTCCCATTTATCAAATTAATTTTTGAGATAGTGGTCTTTTGATCCTTACACTATCAATGATCTTTTCTTTAAAAATTATGTGGACGTGTCATTATTAAATACGTTTACACTTACAATATATAATTACTTAAATTTAAGAATATTTTTTAATTACTAAGAAATTATTTGTTTGTCTCTGAATAATGTAATTATTCAGTGCGTTTGTTTTTCACCTTTAAATGATTTAGTGTTGACTGATTTAACAAAATAATACTGAATGATTCAGCACAGAAATATATTCTGAATCATTCAGAGTCAGTTATCAAACAATATGTCACATTCAGAACTAAACCATTCAGAGTCTCTGAATCATTCAATTTAAATCATTCGACGCTTAATCATCTCTAAATCACTCAATAGATTTCATTAACCAGAGTTGGATTCGATAGGTTATGACTGAAATACGAAGCGGTGTAAGATGGATGATGTTGTGGGATCGAGAGTTATTTGTATTTTGAAAGAAAATAATTGAATTGATTTAAGAATTTGATTGAAAATTTTGTCTTTAAAACCAAAAGTTAATCTGCACTCCTAAGAACAAATCAAAAGTTAATGATAAAATTTGATGATGATAGATGTTGTGATTGAAACAGCAGTCAGGCAGAGTTCACGTGAAGGATCCGGTTATCGGGACCTGGGTTTGACACGTAGGGAATGTCGATTGCATCAATGGCGAAATCCTTTTAAGCTTCCGCCATATGGGTCTCCTCTGGGCGTCCATTATTCTCGGCTCTCGTGCTTTTACTGGATCTCTCAATCTCATTAATCTTCTCCCCCTCGAGCTAAAAGGTGAGGACGAAGCTTGATTTCTCCTATTTTTAGTCTATTACGACCCCACTCACATGTTTTTCCTTTCATTTCGCTCTTTTGTTCTCCTCGGGTCCTTCTATTTCAACCAGTCCTTTCTTATTCTTCTCATTTGATTTCTTTTCCACACAGTTTCTTTCATTTTTCTTTGTTCTCCAATGGAGTCGATTCAACTAACTCGCTTACTATCGTCTTCTAAATCATCTACCTTCGCATCGCCGACAGGTTTAACTTTCAGGCCGAGTTACCGACTCAGTTTTGATCAATTTTTGAAAAGGAGTCTTCCAAATGGGAAGTTGAAGGTCGTGAGATCTGAAAAATCTGGAAATGGTTCCGTTGAAGAACAAAAGCATGCCGTTCGGCTGGACTTGGACCGGGATGTTTCCGGCTCTGTTATCGGCTTAAACTTGATTCCTACGTCAGGTATTTTCGTTTCTCTGATAATCTGTGACTTTATTATTGTCTCTATTTCAATGATTACTGCAACTTTCCACCTTTCTTTTTTCTTTTTGAAAAGGAATTGGCTCATCTTATTTCACTCCAATATCAAACTTTCTTCCTTTTCCCTGAAAATCTGACTTCCATTTTCTTTATTGAAGTTTCAAAAATTAGATGAGCAACCGATTTAATAAGTCACATGCTGTTGAGTGTTAACTAGGCATTTCGCTTTCTTCATGCAAAGTTCTACCCTAGATTTGCGTGCATTCTGGGTTCAACCACCTGGGATGTGGAACCAAAGTTGACTACTTCGTCAAAACAATGCGGATATCATATGAACATCATAATGTTAATTAGCTTTAGTTTAATTAAAGAAATTATAATGATATAAACCTGAATAACCCAAATGCTCATTGTCAAAAAGAAAATATGGTGTGTTGACTGTAGTTTGACTTAATGCGGATATGTAAATAAAGAATTAATTAAAAATTTAAGCCTAAATCTAAAAATATTTAAGTCTCAATCTCTTCTTTAGCCTCTTAATTCTCCTTCCCCTTCTCTTGTAACCACAATCACCGTTGCCAGCATCACTTCCTTCCTTCATTCATTCATTCTAATGCTTGCTATCTAAAACCGCAATTTTTTGTCAAAATTTCCAAGATCTTTAACTGTTATGCACGTGCTGTGCCTCTTGATGAGCTTTCCAAGATTTTTAATCGGTGCTTCAGCAAGGTTTTACGCCTAATACCATAACCTTCGACGTCATGTTCAATGTTTATGGTAAAGCCAAACTTTTGAAGCATGAAGAAACTATTCTGGATGGCGAAAACTCGAGGCTTGGTAGATGTAATCTCTTACAATACTATAATAAGAAAAAGGAATGATAGTGACGGCGGCTATGATGATTGTGGTTAACAAAGATAAGGGAAGAGGGAGTTGAGAGGTTGAAGAAGATACGGAGATTTAATACTGATATGAAAGTAAATAAATAATTAAAATTTAAGCTTAAATTTAATGATGATTAAGAAAAAAATTGCTGATATGTTTTAATATTATTGGTTGGGTTCATATCCTACGTGGTGAGGAAGGTTCATAAAATAATTTCTCCTAAATTGATTAATAAGAAATTGCTGACATGTTTTAATATTATTGGTTGAGTTCGGTGAAGAGGGTTTATATTTATATGGTTAAACTACCTATTAGGTCCTTGTACTATAGGATTAGAACAAATTAGTCCATCTATTATAAGCTGAACAATTTAGTCTTTGTACATTTAACTTTGACGCAATAGATATGATTATAAAAACGGCAGAAAGGTTAAACGTTAAGAAATACCAAGTTATCACATTTTAAGGTAAAAGTTTTAATGTTCAAAGAGCCTTCCTATAAAATTTTATCACTTTGCTTTAAAATTAAATATGCAGACTAATTTGCTCACTTTTACAGTGAGGAGACCAGCTGTCTTTTCACGCCCACTAGGTAGTTTAACTTGGATCAAATGGTCTTCTTTGTTCTAACTGCGGTTTATCTAAATGTATCATAGGTGACCATGAAGTCATTAACACTAAAGTGTATGTGGCAACCGTTACCAAAGACAAAGACGATGAAATTAAAAAAGAAAAAGTAGAAACTAGAGTCACCTACAATATTGTTTTTGTTACTGCTGAAGCTGCACCCTATTCAAAGACAGGTGGATTAGGAGATGTTTGTGGTTCTTTGCCCATACAGCTGGCTAACCATGGACATCGAGTCATGGTTGTTTCCCCTAGATACCTGAATGGTAGCTCTGCAGACGAAAACTTTGCACATGTTTTGGATGCAAATAAGCGGATCAAACTACAATGCTTTGGAGGGGAACAAGAGATTGCATTCTTCCACGAGTATAGGGAGGGTGTTGATTGGGTGAGAACCTCTGCTTTTAATCTAGACCTGCTCTCATGAATATTTTGTTAAAGAGATTATTTATTAGAGAATCATGAGCAAAATTAGCTAGTAGTTAATAACTTTCATTCATCTCTTTGTCAAATTGAGGCTGAGGGAGAAAACTTTAATCATGTTAATGGTTTCCCTCAATTATAAGGTATTTGTGGACCATCCTTCTTACCATAGACACGGAAATCCATATGGTGATAGTCATGGTTCTTTTGGTGATAACCAGGTAAAGTTTTGTTTGTTTTTCGTTTGACTATGAAATTGCTTATTACTTCTCTATTCACTAATGACAATCTTTTCTACAGTTTCGGTTTACTTTACTTTGCCATGCAGCATGTGAAGCTCCATTAGTGCTTCTATTGGGAGGGTATACCTACGGAGAGAAGTGTCTCTTCCTTGTCAATGATTGGCATGCTGGGCTTGTGCCGGTGTAAGATGTTGCTTTCTTATTGTTTCATTTATTTGCCTGCTATGGTCCAACTCTATTTCAATTACTAAAAACACTGGTTTTACCAATGAATTAGTTTGACACTTCACATTACACTCAATTTTTAAAGGTTGCAATTTTACTGTGACTGTTGGTTTGACATCTTACATATTTTAGGCTTTTGGCTTCCAAATACCGTCCGCACGGTGTTTATAAAGATGCTCGTAGCATCCTTGTAATTCATAACCTTGCTCATCAGGTAGATGCTTTCCTCATGGTTATTCCTTTTGCTTTCTCGTTGGTTCTCTCATGTTAATGCCATACTAAGACCGATGCTGAAATTTCCTTTTCGGTTTCTTCAGTCCATAAGAGTGGTTAAAACCGAACTCTCATGGATCAAACTCTGTGCATTTCTAAATTGCTAATTTTAGATAAATTATATTCTATATGGAAGGGAGTGGAACCTGTTGCAAGCTTTAAGAATTTGGGATTGCCTTCAAACTGGTATGGGGCATTGGAATGGGTGTTTCCTACATGGGCCAGGACGCATGCTCTTGACACAGGGGAAGCTGTCAATATTCTAAAGGGTGCAATTGTGACAGCTGATCGAATACTTACCGTTAGCAAGGTGGTTTATTTTACATATTGTGCTATTTATGGTATATTTATATCTAGTCTTTTGTCTGGATATATAATGCTCTGCTATTTCTTTGAATTGTCAAAATGTTTCATTTAAAGGCTATTGATAGATCTTTATTTGATGGTTACTAATTACAATCATATATTATATAAATCTGATTGAAAAGCCACTGAACATCTGTGCTTCATTTATGGGAATTAGTTTCAGTATTTTTATAAGATGGCTTTAGTCAACTGTATTTGTTAATTGCAGGGCTATGCATGGGAAATAACAACTGTTGAAGGTGGATATGGTTTACATGAGATATTAAGCAGTCGGAGGGCTGTTCTGAATGGTAAGTGTTCCCTACTTCCTGAATAGAATATGACCTTTATGCTATTTGGCAGAACTCTGAAGGCTTTTACGTTGTTGCACATGCAAATGAAGTGATAGTTAAGTTTAATACATAAAAAAATATGACATCCCACTTTCAATGGGATTTACATTTTAGGAAGACCTTTATCAAAGTCTTAGTTAGTTTTGTTCATAAGCTTCATGCTGGACAAAAGAAGATGATTATATCGAAAAGTACATGCATGGAATATGTGTGGGGCTTTTGGATCATGTGTTCTCCAGTCATGTTTATAGTCCATGAAGAATTACAGATGTTCTTTAACTAGAGTCTTTGTGTACATTCAATGATGATCAGGTATTACAAATGGCATTCATGTTTCCGAATGGGACCCATCTTCAGATAAGCATATTCCATTCTGTTATTCGACTTCTTCTCTCTCTGGAAAGGTGGTTAATCTATTTTTTCTGGTATTAGCCATTTATAGTTGAACAAAGTTGCTCTTCCGAATTCTTATCCCAACAAGATGTGAACTTCAGGTTCAATGCAAGACTGCTCTCCAACAGGAACTTGGTCTTCCAATTAAGCCTGACTGTCCCTTGGTAAGATTTTACTTTATGTTGGAGTAGACTTAGTAGTGAAAAACCAGTGCTCAAGTTCTCACTAAGTTCATATTTATAGATTGGGTTTATTGGGAGACTCGACTATCAGAAAGGTATTGACCTGATCCACTGGGCTATTCCAGAACTTATGGAAGCTGATGTGCAATTTGTAAGTGAGCTTTCTTTTTATTTGATAACCATAAGTGCAAGAAGAATTACTCTTAATTTGTGTAATGCATTCCTTTCGATTAATATCACGGTGACCTGTTTTTGGTAGAAGGGTGGTTTCATGTTTCTATGGTCAAAGTAACATGGAAGGTAAAAGTTGATTTACTATTGTTCAAGACTGTATTCGTATAGGCATTTTATGCTAGTCACCTATACTAATTTTGCTATGTAATATCATTCTTCCTCCTGTTGATTTTGAATCTGATGATTTAAGATGAAATTGAAAGGGGCCTTTGGTAATTTGATGCAATATTGATTGCATTGTCCTATAGCAATTTTAAAGTCGGTTGTTCCCTCGTGGCCTCTTTTACCTTTTTTTTAGTTTTCGAGTTATTCTTTCTGTAACTTACAGGAGAACTAAGTTTCCGAATTTGGTTAGGTAATGCTAGGCTCTGGTGACCCACTTTATGAGAACTGGATGAGATCGGCAGAGAATACTTACAGAGATAAATTCCGTGGTTGGGTTGGATTTAATGTTCCAATCTCTCATAGGATCACTGCAGGGTAATTAGAAACCCTTTTTTTGGTCTGAACCATTTTCTAGAGATACCAATAACTTTATCATTTTTTTGGAATTGAGCAGCTGTGACATACTGTTGATGCCCTCTAGATTCGAGCCCTGTGGATTAAACCAATTGTATGCAATGAGATATGGAACCATCCCAGTAGTTCATGCCACAGGAGGACTTAGAGTAAGTTAAAACAATACTGTTCTCATGTCATTCACTTTTATATGACTTACGTTCATTACATGCCTCTGACTTACTCTTATTCAGGACACAGTAGAGAATTTCAATCCGTACGCCGAGGAAGGTAGCAGTGAAGGCATTGGGTATGCAATCCTTAACTTTTTCTTTTTCGTCTACCAAGTCTTGGTATTTCATATGCTTGTAGTTTCTCTTATAATGGTATGGTTTGAACTGTGCTAACAGGTGGGCCTTTTCTCCCTTCACAAAAGACAGTATGCTGAATGTAAGTTAAATGCTATTCATTTGCCAACTGTGACCTTCTAAATCTAGATGATGAGAGTTTCGCAAGAATAAGTTCGATCTTTACTGCACCACAGGCGTTACGAACGGCTATAAGGACTTACAAAGATCATAAGTCAACTTGGGAGGGATTGATGAGAAGATGTATGCAGAAGGATTTTACCTGGGAAAATGCTGCCCTTCAATACGAGCAGGTTTTCGAGTGGGCCTTTATCGATCCACCTTACATTAAGTAACCCGAAAATGAGACGGAAACACAGCAATGGAAGGGACAAGGCGTTTCAGTAGAGAGCTCTTTCAGGGCCTGTTTATGGATAACGAATCATAGGGAAAATTACATGCCAGTAGGCAGTATTATTTGTTTTGTTTTTACTATTTTTCCTCTTCCACCAACCCATATGGGTATGAGCTTCAATTAGCTGTTCATTTTCTTCTTTTTTCTTGGGGTTTTTTTTTGGCCGGGGGGGGGGGGGGCAGGAAGTTTGTTTGTATATGGTACTACAGGAAGACCAGTGTAGTATTTACCAACAGAATAACGTGTTGTCCATAGGGACGGGCATGAGATCCAATCCGATCTAACCGGGTTGAATTTATTTTTAAAAAATTTGGGTTTAAGTCGGGTCTTTTTTTAGAGAGGATAAATTCAGGTTGAGGAGGGTTTGAATTTATGATAAAAAATATCTGACCAGACTTGAAAAATATAATTATACCCTAAATATTGGGATGATTACTATAATTTCCATTTTTATATTTTTTTAATGAAATCTCTATTTTAAAATTAATAATTTTATATTATTTATGGTCGAGTTGGAGACGAGTTTTATTTCAAAAGTTGAGATTTTGGGCCAGGTAAAATTACTCTAAACTCGGATTGAACTTAAGTGGAAGGTATAAAATTTTGGAGTTAATAGGAAACTCAACCTAACCTGACTCATGTCTATCCCTAATTGTCCATGTATACAACAATTTTTTCCACGCAAAAGATCAATGTCTATAAAATCCGTGCAAAAGCACTAGATATTTTACGACATACTAATTGGATTTGAGACTTGGCTAAATAACAAAAAGATTGTATTATCACAAATTGGAGTTAATTTCATAGCCAACTTGTCAAAGATTGAATTCATCGATCGATTCAATACATAGAACGCTCGAATTATTAAAATAATTTTCTATCCAAATTATTTTAATAATATTTGCTCAAAGGACATAGTTGCAAACCAAATGCTCTAATTGAGTCAAAGCATATAATTTACCATTAAAACACATTTCAACCACCATAATAAAAATGGAACATATACACACAATAACAGACTCAATTATGATTTTACTCATTTAAACTGTGCTTTCAAAATGCTCCAGATCAATAGACTAATCAGATGATTTAGTTTTTCCTTCAACTATAGAGTATTCTACGGAATCCTATTTCTCTAACAAAATCAAAAGATACGTTCAAAGTAAAATTCATCATCTAAGTTATTATTCAGCATGGATCCTTAAATGAATTTAAATTTAAAAGTTTCACTGATACTATTTAGATGACGAAATGAATGATTACAAATAAAGGATATTGTGAGAATAAGGTGCATTTTATATATTTATGGTTCAAACAAACAAAATTCAGCAAGAACAAAATCGATAAGAATGTAAGAGATGTTCCTAAAACCATAATTTATTAGGTTTGAGCAAATACTTTATAAGAGTAGGAGAGCTACTTATCACTATTACCCACAGGGGGTAAGCTTTTTATTGCCAGCACCTCGAGGATTATCATCTTTCCAGTCATCCCATGCTCTTGCCTTATCTTGGGCAGCATCATCATCTTCATCATCATCACTTGGTCCCATCTTTGGTTTGTCCTTGTGCCATGCTGAGTTGGTTTCTTCAAACATTTTTGCGTTCCTCTCCTGCCACTTATTCATCATCTCCATCTCCCTCAAACCAGCTTCCTCGATACTCATCGTTGGCATCCTACAAGATAATTTGATCAACAGTTGAAAACAATATATTGAAAAAACAGCTATTTTTTCTTCATAAATGATTAGAACCAGAATGCTGCCAATATGGCAATATCACATGCAAACGTTGTCATAACGTGGCAAGATGTTTCAAAAAAAAAAAACAATTTGATGCTCAAGTATCCGCTTCCATACTTTGACAATAAAACAGAGTATATAAAAGCAGTATTTCAGGACAGGGATTTACCTATAAGCAGGTTGGAAAACCTGTGCTGCAATCCTTTCCCTCTCACTTGTTAGGCTTCCACCTATAAGGCTTTGCGGTCCAAAGATCATTGGCTGGTGTTTGTGGACATGTGCTTGTGAAACATTTGCCCTTCCTTCTATAACATCTTGAGCAAATGTAGCACATGTGATAGGTGCTGCAGGTTGAGTATATCGTGCACGAGATGCAGCATCACGATGCCATGCCTCTGCTTTCTTGGTGCGATCATCAAGGTTAGCCTCAGAAAATTCCTTTTCCCCATCCTGAAATGAAAGGAAGATGAAACTGGTGAATTAAAATTACTGTCAAAATTAGAAGCATTTTGATGATTCCTTCAGGCAAAACCATTTACTTTCTAAAACCAAAAAAGAAAAAGAAAAACTATTATCTTTTCCAGCACAAGTTACCAGAAAGCTGGCTATTACTGGACTGGCCAAAGCAATGCACGAGAAACTGAGCATTTCACCAATTAGTAAATGTTGTAACAAGTCATGGTTCAGCAGAAAGGCAATGAAAAATTATAGAAGGTCTTGTAATGTTTATTGGTTAAACAACATTGTTGTGTTTCAAATGATTTAGTTGAAGATTTCTGAAAATGTATAGAAGAATTTTCAATTTACTCCATTGTTAACGGCCAGTTGGAAATGCAGCAGCCCTAACAATGAACTTAAGGCTATGAGAACCTAACAGAGGTAAACGTTTCCTGTATTTATCAAAAAGGTTAAGTAAGCAAGATCTGACTTGGGCTGAATAGTATCAATCTTGGCATTACGTTAGATTTTTTCTTAGGTTTAACATCATAAAATATGTAATAGGAGTAATGATTTACATCTCCTAACTGGGGTGTATAGTGTCAAATCTTCAGGTAGAACTTTACTCTTCTTCTAGTGAAACTTTCAACACAACTCATCACCGAAGGTTAAGACGGCAGACACGTTTTCAGGAAAAAAGCACAAGTACTCAATACAACAGTTGAGCTATAGGTCATTTACACAGATTAATACCTTTAGCTGTTTCTCTTTTATAGCAGAAAGCATTTCTTCTTCCTTCTTCAGCATTTCGAGCAGATCAAAAGCCTGCAATTGTAGCAACGTAAAGAAAGTGGTATGGAGTTATTGCAATGATAGAAAACAAGATTAAAGCTTTTACATGGAAGATTTTATTGAAATGTAAGACCAACCTTACAAATAGCCAACGAGATAGTAGTAAGCCAAGCCTGCAAAAGGAAAATGTAACTCGTTCAGATAAACCAGAAAGTTTAGTCAAACCAAGAAGCACAGATAATATCTTCAATAAAAAGCATTAGGTATATTATCTCAGTTTCAGAGCTTTATGCAATTATTCTGATAATAAAATAACCAAATTTACAGTACCAGCAGCAGACTTCAAAAGGTCTAGTGTAATTGTAAAGTGTAATTCAGAAGCGGATCCTAATAATACAGTAGATAAATATCTTACCTAAGAGTTCATTAAAAAGGAAAAAGCCAACAGTCATAGCATCATATAAATAAAGCTCTTAAGTTACAATGTTGCCAATTATAACTAAGTCAGGTATAACCTCACAGTAACATTTAAAACTGCTGGATACCGTCACCCAGAACATAATCACAACTGTAGCAGGAAATTGATTATGATAAAACATACAAACACAAAAAAAAAGAGATCAAAGAAATTGATTATGATAAAACATACAAACACAAAAAAAAGAGATTAAAGAACTCGGGAAGCCTTATTATTTAAGGGCCCTAATTAGACCTTTGTGTCTGGTTTCACGAGCAAGCACAAAAACTGGATCGACGACAAATAATCCAGAAGAAAGCTGCTTAGATAATGGCCTTAATTAAAGCTTTCCCTACATGCTATTTTTACTAAAGAATTAATAAAGCAGTTGCCACAGGTTCTTTGTGCACCATGCAAATCTTCCCTAAGTTCCATGAATTTACAGATTTTTACTAGACAATATCAGGTTTGACATCTAATAGGCAAGTCTTAACAATGACATTGCATCTAACGTAGTTTAGAAGGTTTTTCATGTATATAACTAGCCTCTCTTTCCTCCTCCCCATCATCATCCAGCTGATCATCCTCTCCAACCTCAACAGGAGTGGATAAGGCAGCTGCTTTTGTTGAACGCCCACGTCGCTCTTTCCACTCCTTTATTTCTGTCAGTTTTGTTTCTGCAGCTTTTTGACGTCTAAACCGAGCAATCTGGAGACAGGCACAAAAGTGCAAGCACAGCAAAACAGCATCCCATTCAACTCAACTATCTAGAATGCATCCAATAATAACAAAAAATTGTGCTAACAGAAAAAGTATATATTAGTACCTTCAAGGCTCTTCGATCAGCAAAAGAATTTGAAGCTCCTTTTGCAGAAGCTTCCAATTCTTCCTGTGGTACTAGTTCCATTGCCTCACAAAACGAAATGAATTCCTAAAAGACACCACACTTTATATAAATCCAATTGACATAGGAGACAATAATCGAAAGATTACAAGTTGTAGCCCGATAAAAACATAGGTACAAAAGCAACTTTTGTAAAATGTTCTCTCTAATGCTAAACTTCCACAGTGAGTTCAACCACACTTCACTTTGAGCTATGAACTGAACTTTACCTTCAATTTTGCCTGTGAAATCTTGAGAATTTGTATCCTTTCTTCCCCTGCAAGCTTTTCGGTCAGCTCTGCAAGATAAAATGGCACCTGAAAGGTACTGCAGTTAGAACCTGCCTAAAATACTACTTTACAGCCCTTACAACTGTGTCCAATATTCTAAAAATGAATAACTCCCAACTTATTTTAAAACAAAGAATAGTTAATTGCACAACAAGAAATCAAAGTTCGGAATAAAACTTAATTGGCATACCAAGTAGAATTTATAAAAAAGATGAAGGAAATGAAGTTATTGACAATTACCAAGATGTACTTAAGATTGATGGTGCTGATATCATCTTTGGTTTCATTGGATGAGAAAAGCCCTAGACTGTTCACCATATCCTCACACTTCCCAAGCAACTCGCATCCTTTCTTCACCAGATCCTGCGGGCCCAATGAAATTCACATTTTTCACATCGGAAATCGTTGAAGAAACAATGAATCAAGCATGAGAAGGAAACATACCTGGTCAGCACCAGACTCCGTGGACGTAAGATAGATCTTACGAGCCTGATCGAACAGAGCTGCCAACGACATATCCTCCACTTTGTATTCACCCATAGATGACTGTCGGAGAAACCCTAGAATTTATACTAACCCAACTTCGAGGAAAGAAGAAACGAATTAGAAAATCTTGACCCGAATGGGTGGCGACGATATTTCAATATTCAGAAATCTCGAGGGTAAATTGAAAATCACAATTTTTTGTATCTGCAAAGAAAGAAATTCGAAAGGAACAAGGTTCGCTGAGAGAGAGAGGATGACGAAATAATGGATATATCCTTAAAGCGTCAATTTATAAACTGGGCGTTTTCATCTCCAAGAATTTTTTTTTGAAAAATACGGTAATACAACTTTATGAGAAAAATATAAAAATGTTGTTTCTATTTTTAGTGTATAAAATTAATTTTATAAATACTTTTTAAAGTAGAATATATAAATATTTTTTATTAGAGAATATTATTTTAACCTTTTAATTATACAAAATATAAAATAATAATTTAAATTTAAATACTTTTTTTATTAAACAATTAATACAAATAACTTGATAGTTAATAAAATTAATATAGTAAATATTTAATCTTTAAATTTTATATTTTATTTTAATTTTAAAAATTAACCTTTAACATTTTAAAACTACATTAATTGAATCTCTGTTTTAGTTCATTTTCTTTACAATTCTCCAAGCCATCAATGTCGTATTTGGGCTTGGGCAAGAACACTTGTACAAGACTCAGAATTTTTATAATGCATTATATTTGTAAAAAAATTGATTTTATATCATTTATAGGGTTTAATTATTTTTAATATTTATTATTAAGAGTTTAATTTTTTTCTAATATTTATTATTAGAGGTCTGCTCTTATAATTTATTTTTTTTCTAATATTTGTACAAGTATCTAATTTTCTACAATTTTTTTCTAACAATTGTTATTAAGGGTCTATTTTTTTAATACTTGTTATCAGTGACCTAATTTTTTTCAATATTTGTTATTAGGGGTATACTTTTAAAATTTAATTTATTTTCTAATATTTATTTGTTATTATGAGTCCAAAATTTTCAGTACTTTTATTAAAGGTTTAACTTTTTTTTCAATATTTGATATTATGAGTATACTCTTAAAATTTATTTATTTTTTATATATTTATTATTAGGGACCTATTTTTTAACACTTGTTATTAGAAACAATTACTTAAATAACGCTATATAACCACAACAATGACCGTTATGCAATGTTATCAACATCGTCCAAAACCGTAATATCCACAACTGTTATGTCAACAATAACATATGTTATTAAAAAATTACAACCACGATACTTCCAGTGACCGTAATATCATCAGTTATATCTACAATAACGGTAAACAAAACTGTAATTTAAATACATGATTAAAGACAGTTCTTTTAGTTTACCTAAGAGCCATCAAAATCTAAGAAACTGGCATTCAAGCCATCATAGTTATGTAGTTGAATATGCATCATTTATAGCATCGAGTGTCGGTACTATATGTTCCATGGATTGTAACATTAGAAATATCATAGGTTTCAGCTCAAAATAAGCGGCGTTTATAGTAGAACGAACAAGTCATTGATTGAGATCATCGAGTATCGACACTATATGTTCCTTAATCGATCTTGTTCGGTAATCCATGTACTGAAAACTGATTGCACAGTTGGATTATCTTCATTTTTTTATTTTAAATTGATGGAAGATTTTGACCCTCATTGTTGCCTTCTCTGATAATGACCTGAACTTATTGATTCCTTCTTCGCAAAATATATTCTAATTTGAAAACAAAAGGTTATAAAGTATCAGTGTGACTTTGAGTCATGCACCAATAAAAGTATCTATAAAGAAGACTAAGAAAATAAGTTAGTGTTGTAACGTCTTTTTTGACGGATGAGTAATTTTTTGATGAAAACTTCGAATTTACGACTTATTTGGGAAAATTTGAATTTTTGTGTTTGTTTTGATTAAATTGTTTTGGAGTCTCCATCAACTTTTGTGTTAGGTAGGTCGAATACCTAAAAACGTCATTAAAACAATTTTAAGACAAATTATTTTTAAGACAAAAAAAATCGGTCTATGCTTATAAAAAGATTCATTTAGGTTCGGGAGTCGATTACGCATATGAAAGTATTAGCATCCCCAATACGCCAAAAAATTGGTACCTAATCGCTTGTATGTTGTCGTGGTGGTGGAATTTTTAAATTCGAATTGAAACTTAAAATATAATCCTTTCATTGAATATTGGTTAATTTAGTTCATATTATTTATTAAGGAACATTACTTAATTTGAGAAGAAATCATAGGATTTGCACATCCTCCAATGGGAAGGTTATCCCATATACTTTTCCTCTATACGAGCAATGTCCCTCTTCAACATCATCAAAAATAAAAAATCAAATATAAATTGAATATCGGTAATAAAACATCGAATAAAATAACAAAGCGTGCTATTAAAGAAAACATATGCATTGTCATTATTTAAGCTGAGATAAAAAGAATAACTTGATTATTACCATTTAATCAAAACCAACTCAATTTATTTCAAGTTCATTTTTATTCAAATGTCGTGTCAGATCACACTACTTCGATCAAGCAGTGTTTTCCGCGCCCATTCTTTAATAACCGTTCTTAAAAATATTCGAGCAAGGGACATAAAAGTTTGACAAATAGATATTTTACAAATTAAAATAAAATAAATCAGAGAGAATAATATAGAATAAAAATTAGTAATATATATATATATATATATATATGAATATACAAAGGTAAAAATAAATTTAACAAATATATGTATATAGGTATATATGATATAGCGTGTGTATGTGATGAAATAAAATAAAAATAAATAAATTAGTACATACGCAAGTACATTTGAAACATAATATGTACATGAATATTATAACTTAGGTTGAAATGTAAACATGCAAACATGGCAAAACATAACGAAAATAACATAAACTAAGTAAGCTTTATAAACAAGTGACTAAATGGAGAAAATAAGAACTTTGAGGGCATAACAACGAACATAGCAAGAAACATGGAAAAGATGCAAATATCATGAAGCAGGAGCACTGTAATGACAATAAAACTGAAGCAACGTGCAAGACTAAAATGAAAAATACTAAAGTAATGTGCCAAATGTGAAATAAATGAAAATAGAGGCATAACAAGGTTGAATGACCAAAATAAACATGCGCAAAATAAGATGGTATGAATGAAATAATTCAAAATTCGATTGGTAACCAAAGTGAAAAGCTTACAAACAAGAGAGCCCTCATCACGCAAAAACCCCACAAATAGGCAGGTCACTCTTTCCTCTCCTTAAACGACAACGTTTTAAGGAGAAACTAAAGTACATTTTTAGGGTTAAACTAACCCTAAATTCATTTTTGCCATCTATATGAAAAAAGAGAATGGCTCCTAAAGCTCTCCCTCATGATAAAAAATGATAGTCGCTCGCCAGCGATAGCAACCACCACCCCCGATGGTCGGGGGTCGAAACAAATAGCCCAAAATGACCTCTTTACTCTCCCAAACCCAAACCTAAATTGCTTTTATGTAAAATCAACCCCAAAAGACTAGATCTAACAAAGAATGTCTAAGAATCTACCTTCCATCCCCGCTAAATCCACCGTCCGATAGAGCCACCACCGAGTTATGTTGATCTCCTCACAGCCACATGCTTTTTCACCATTTGGATTTGTCATCCGACCATCAGAACTACCATCGTCGAAGACCCGAAGGTAAGCTCCTCCCTTTTTTGTTGTTGGGTTTTTGCTGGATTTGATGATGTTGGTTTCTTTTCTTGGCCTTTTTTGTTTTCTGATGGATATTCAAATGGCTGTTGCTCTTTCATTGATTATCGATTTTTTTCTTTTTGTTGTTGTGTGTTTTTTTTTGTTTCTTGTTCTGGTTTCAGCTCTCCTTTGTTCCACTGAAGACGTCCATTTATTGGTTGTTGCATGCCCTATTTATGGTGTTATTTCAGGTGAAAATAATGAGCTCTTGTAAGGGAATGATTTCCCTAAGCTGTTATCCCGAATTTAATGAGATTTTAGTATTTTTAATGGGTTTTAGCTTTAGTTGATGATTTTTAACTGATTTGATGTATTGTTCACTTTTTGTCGGATTTGTTGAAGGCGATAGCTTGGGAGTCATCAGAAAAAGCTCATGCGACGGGGATGTTGAGGGGTTGGAACGTGCATCACATGCGCGCCATCAGGTGATCCATCTTTGCTAGTAGCAGTTACTGGTAACAAGTTAGGGGCTAGGGTTTAGAAACCCTAGTTGAACGGGTCAAGTTGGTTCGGCTGTAACTGGTTCTGAGTTGAGGTCTTTGGGTCTGTCTACTGTTTGTAGTATTGGGCTTCAGTTTTTGGGCCTACAAAAATGTAAAATAAAATATTATTAATAAAATAATAATAAAAATAAAAATAAATGATAATAATAATAAAAACAACTTGGATGAAAACATATATCAACAACTACCTCTCTTTGCCCATTCTTTTTGTTAACAAGAATAGGACAAGGATGAAAAGACAACACATTTTTGTTCGGTTTTATCTTCTATTTTGAAATTCGATTTTGTCTTGAGAGAGATTGACGATGATTATGATCTCAAGGGAGATATTTTCAACGTTTTGTTTCAAGAGAAACAATCTCAAAGGATACAATTGTTGTTTGTTGACGACATTATTCCTTCATGATGAGGATGGCTAGCCCATTTGATTGGTTTCTTTTTCGATTGTAGAAGTCAAATTTGAAGACCATGTTGCTCTCCTTCTTCTGAAGTATGCTGAATCTGATAACGATCTCACTCTTTCCTCTAAAAGACGCTGAGTCGTGGGATGATCTTACTCCTTCATCTGAAGGATGCTAAGTCATAATTCAGGGTGATCCACTCCTTCTGAAAAGATGTTGAATCCGATGATGATCTCACATTTTCCTTTGAAAAACACTAAGTCTTGGGATGATCTTACTCCCTCCTCTAAAGGACACTAAGTCGTATTTGAATAATTATATTTGAAGACAACACTGCTTCTTCTTGTTGAGAATATCTGATTGCCTGGAGATAATTTAATATTGGAAACGATATTAATCATTCACGTTGAAGAGATCTGGATACTTTCGGGTAAATTGTTTGTTGAAGATGATGTTGTTCATTCTCATTGAGGAAGTCGGGTCAATATGGAAATAATTTGATGTTCAAAACGACATTGCTCATCCACATTGAAGAGATTTGACCACTTTT